CAACTGAAGGACAAGAGTGTATCATGATACTATCAAGGTTCGTCATCTGCTGTAAAGCGCAAAATGAAATTGACGATAATGGCAACTAAAGAGGAGAGTTTGAATTAAGTAGCCGAGACATGACGTCGGGATAAGGAAACACTCACGGAGCAATGCAAGACAGAGTACGGTCTGGATCGGACATGGTTAATTAGCAAGAGAATGGATGTTATAAGGGGTAAGGAACGTACAGGACCGAATCTATCATCATATGGACCACGGCCTCCTGTCCGAATGGAGTTGGCACGCCAATGATATGTCCAAAGTGCATACACCATTACGGCAATAGCTAAAGAATCCGTGATGATTAGCTCCACAGCATGATAACGAGAGTTTAATATTGATAGCCTACCAACGAACGAGAACATGGCTGCACTAATCTTTCCGACCTGTCAGAGAGGATGTTAGTGTTCGTTCACGCCACTGCAAAGGGCCGGACGGAGTGAAAATAAAAAATACCTTGTCACCAAAATTTAGCAAGCCTACGGCGAGGCCACCAAGCACCACGGTAAAGTGCAACCATGAGAGAACGTTCGCTCATTGGCGAAAGAGACTTTGGGCTCGATCTTTACGGGGAGAGCGATACGTTTTGCGGCTGTTCTTTGGAGGAGGGGCTGAGTAGACATGGTGGATGGAGGAGAGAGAGTGGCCTGTGGGTGAAGGAGCGGATGAGGGAGTGTAGAGAGGCCTCTCGAATCGAATGCGGGCCCTGGACATAGGTCCGAGAATGGAAACCGAGGACGAACGTGCGCGACGCCATGGGCTCGTTCCCAAAGCGCTTACGGCACCTCTCTCTTCTTCCTCGAGCCGACCCAACGGCTCTCAATGATCTAGATTGCCCACTCAACGCCTTTCCTTCTCCCCCTTTTGCTTGCTTTTTTCTTGCCCCTCCCTCGGATGCATATCTGTTCCTTGCTTTTCAGCTCCTAATTAACGAAAAGGCTGGCCAGTTCCATTCTCTGCCCCAATGTCTTTTTTTTTCGTCGAATGTGACCGGCGAGCGATGCCGGCACCCAGAATTCGTGGAACACAAAGACGTACAACATTCCTTCTCTCCTCGGACGCCCGGTCAGCTTTTTACTGCTCACATGGATACCTTCTACTCATACCCACCTCAATTATATCCTACAGAAGTATCCCAGCTTACCAACGACACGATAATAGCTGTCGTGTGACCACTAAATGGTGCACCGTTCTACTATAAACTCAAACTTATCCCAGTCGTTCCACATCTGCCGAAATGCAGTACATGATGGTCACCCAGCCTGATGTGAACCTGATACGAGATATCCCCTTGCCGTGTCCTCAGGATTCTTCGAATTGAGGCTACTTGACAGCTTTAGCTCTCCTTTTCCGTACAGATAAATTTATCCTCTCCATTCCCTACTGCTGCGAAGCTATCTCATCTCTGTCCATCGCAATGAATCACACGGGAAATACAGTACTTGTCTGCGGCTTGGACAGACCTCGTCGACGTTGTTTGCGATCACTCATATCGAACTGACATCACTATAGTTCTCTGTAACTATGTGCTCGGGCCTAACTAAGACCTCTGCGCCATCCTCACTAGCTACCGACATGAAACGTTCTCTCTCAGAACGTAGTTCCTGATTATCGTCTCCAAATATATCTACTCTTCCTTCCTTCTGCGTGTCATCCTAAGTTCAGTAAAAGTAATTCACGTGCCAACGCTCACTGACACTATCCGGCATTTAAACTCGTCCAAAATCGTCGTCATCAACCCCAAAGCAATATAGTTTGGAGCCTGTTCACATAAGATTCATGGTATGAACACAAACCATTACACCTACCACTTTCGAGACGGGATCCCAAGCGCCGCGTATCTTGCATTTCCCATAACTTGGCAACCATAAAATCATCACAGATCGAAGGTCATCGAAGGCTTCGATGTAGGGAGAACCACTCGAGTGGAGCAAGTGTAGCACTGTGTGCACATATAATTGTCCTCAAATTCGACAATCATTTTACGTGATCCGTGGCAGGTAGACATCATGAATTATGGTGTGGCGTTGACGTGAGTAGTGAAATAGAGTACAAGAAAAATATAAAGAACATGGGACCAAATTGGCCTTAATCGTCGGGAAGTTCTGAGAGTTCGCTACTCAGATCACTCGCTTCACCCTCCTCCAAATCCTCTTTCGACTTCATTTTTGGCTGACCCTTCCCATGTCCATCCTCCGATAACTCACCCATCTCTACATCTTCCTCCTCCTCTCCCTCCTCTTTCGATGAACCCTCTCCCAGAACTGGCGTCGTCGCCCCACTCTGAGCAGGTAAACTCGATAAAGAAGTCCCAGATGTCCTATGCGGGATGAACGGTCTCGCCGTAGGGTTCAACGTCTTGGATAACGGGATATCCTCTTCATCCGAGTCAGTGCCCTCATTCTCCTTCAATTCCCCAGACTCCGCACGTTCTCGAGCATCAGACATCTCCACATCATCGCTTTGAGAAACCGTGATCTCGGGTGCGGGGGTGGTGGGAGGAGGAGCTTCTGGTTCTGAGAGGTCGGTCACTTCGGGTTTACCCATGAGGCGTAGCTCGGAGAGGTCTGAGACGAGCATGTCTAGACGCGTCTTTTGCGCTATGAGGGTTCGGTCTTGCGTTTCGTGTTCGGCGCGGATGGCTGCCATGTCGTTTTCCAATGCGCGTATTGAACTACGATCGGGGTAATTGCTTGTTAGTTAGAATACAAGGTTCGCTTGAGGAATAGAGACGCACCTTTCAAGTTCACTCCTCGAAGGGAGGGTATTGATCTTTTCAGTGATAACATCGTACTCCATCTTTCTCCGCCTATCCAGCTGAGCTTGTTCCAGACTTGTTTTGAGTTCTTCAAGCTGGTCCTTTGTCCTCTCATGTTCGTTCGCTATTCCTCATATTAAGCCAAAAGAAACCAATTTCGAATGCAATTCCAGAAACATACCTATCCGTTCCCTCTCCCTCTGATACTCCTCCACCTGTCTCGCTTCAGCCTCACATACCATCAAACTCTTCTTCAACGACAAATGAAACGAAGCCAACTCCACAAGGAACGCTTCACGCGCATCATCTACCGAGGGATTCGTCGAAGACGCGGCGGTGGCAGTTGTTGAAGACGAGGGAATAACAGGTCTATACGCCATAGAAGCATAATTGTGGAATTTCTTCGTCACCCGACGAAGGGCCTTTTCGTCATTGGTGATCCGGGTGTGTATGATGACATCTGAGAATGAGGAATGGAATTCATTTCGTTAGGAGTCGAGGGATGCGTATGATATATATTGATGCATTCGCAGAGGAGGAGGACAGTACCTTCTTGTTGGACACTTAGAGGTATCGAGCTGGGTTTCTGGGAGCTTTCTTGTGTTGAAGGTGCGGACATGGTGGTTGGGGTCATACTGGCAAGAGAACAAGGAGTGATCGTCAATTGTCCGAATTGTTATTGAGCGCTTACTGTCTGTCCCATTACACTTTGGCTCTAACCGCGATGAAGTACGTATGTATATATCACGTTCACGAGTATCTGGGATAACTGACATGGATTTTGTGTAGTGTCGTTCGAGAGATCAACAAAATAAATGAAAAGGAGCTCGACCTGGGCTTGACTGCTTCATGGCACGATGACTACAAAGGTTGGTCTTTCCGAAGCTATAGAATACGACATCTGCTCACTGCTGAATACTTCAATGAAGAGTAGATTCCGCCTATATATTTATAGGAGGACTACACCTTGACCTAACAGAAGGAGATGTCATCACCATGTTCTCTCAGTACGCTCCCCCTTTCCCCCTTTCCCATCTCACACACTCGACCTTCTAATATTCATTTATTTACAGGTATGGAGAAGTAATGGATGTGAACATGCCTCGTCACAAAGATACTGGCAAAACCAAAGGCTTCGCATTCCTGATGTATGAAGACCAACGTTCTACCATCCTAGCCGTAGACAACCTGAATGGCGCAAAGGTCCTAGATCGCACTCTGCGTGTGGATCATGTTCGAGACTATAAACAACCAAAGGTGAAGACAGAGGAGGGTGAATGGCAAGACCGGGACGAGCAGAGTCTTAATGCTAAACCCGAGTTGGTCGTTGGTGCGTTAACTCAAAATAATACATCACAACTAGAGTCTGTTTATTGATATCATTCTTCGTAGACCGAGGTGCTGTATCGGACTCCTCTGAATCATCTGGTCCTGATATCGATCCAGAGGACCCTATGCGAGACTATCTATTAGAACAATACAAAGCAGAAAAGGCGAAGAAGAAAGCAAAGAAGGCAAAAAGCAAAAACAAACACAAAGACGAGACACCCGAAGAACGACGCGCCCGTAAAGAAAAGAAAAAGGAGAAGAAGCGTAGGAAAATGGAGAAGTCAGATGGGATGAAAGGCGTGGAGGATCTCTTGAACGAACTCGATAGTCGTATGGGTCCTAGTCGACGTCGACGTTCTCCTTCTCCGAGAGGCAGATCCAGGAGTCCTGGTTCTCCTCCTGCCAGAAGGTATTCTCCGGATGAAAGGAATCGTCGCTCGGCAAGTAGGACACAACCTCCTCGAAGAGAAGAACCTACGAGGAGACCAAGGTCTCGTTCACGGTCACCTCGTCGCGATTCACAACGCGATCGGTCGAGTAAGAGGTACGAAGATGACAGGCGTAGAGAGCGTGAATACGAACGAGACACTCCGCCTAGACGGCGATAGCCTCGAGGTCTCGCTTGCTTTATTTCCGTTGTATTATCACAGACATTGAGGGCACACAATACCTTACATCCTCATATATCTTTTCAGGAGAGTTGTATGAGTTCAATGGGGGAAGTGAATCGCTCTTTTGAATCTCATAGTATCACCTAGATCATAACCTCAAGCTTGAGAATCTCAGTGTACAATATCTTGCTAGTACAATGTGATATTTGAACGTTTCGGACGATGAAGAAGAGAGTGATGAGCAAAAAGATGTTTCCAAATACCCCCGGTGGGACTCGAACCCACAACCTCCAGATCACCCTCGTTGGTAGAAGTCTGACGTCATAACCATTAGACAACGAGGGCTTGTCCAGATTGCCGGCTTTACTGTTTTCGAGTGTTCATCGGCAAGCGAACGTCTCGAATGCCAAGAAGAATATCGGAATTGGTAAAAATATATTTAATTGAGTACGGTACATTTTGTTGTTTGTTGGTGGATACTACATTGGTGATTTTTTTAAAAAAATAACGTGGTATCGAGTGTACAGGAGAGGGTAGAGTCAACTGAGAGTCTGAGACATTAACGTCTCTGTCGCTTTCTCTCGCGCTCTTCAGCTAATACTGCCAATCGTCTCTGCTTCTCAATCCTAGGAGAATCCGCAAATGCGAGCGAAGATGTGTTTGCACTCCGTGGGGTACTCGGAGCCGGACCTCCATTGCCTTCAGTCCTAAAAGGTTACTAGCTCGGACCAATTCAATAAGTTGTCAATAGTTGCTACATACCTGTCAGGTTCATTGTCGGAGGACTCTGGTGTAGCAAGTATCCGTCTTTTTCGTGGTGTCTGAGAAGGTCCTGCCACCATAGGTTGAGGATCTGGCGTGGACGGTGCATTCGTAATCATTTCTTCAGGCTCAGATGAGGCATCCTCGGACTTGGTTTCAGAAAGGGAGCTTTGAACAGAGGCGGGTTAGTATCAAAATAAGAATGACTTGAGCTTAGACCAACGTGAGTTCTGATTGTTCATCGTCGAGAAAATTCTCCGATGCCTCCTCGTCACTGGTATCTTGAGCACCTCGATGATCTATTTTTGCAAACCTAGCCGCGACATTTAGAAGTGCATCCCATTGCGAAGAGGCAGTGTGTTGTATCGTCTCAACGTCGTCACGATCAAAATCTCGGCGACATTGAGGACAGCTTAAGTTCTCTTTGTCCCGTGCTAACTCCTGGAAACAGGTTTCGCATAGAATATGCTGACATGGAAAACTGTTACACCAACTGATCAAGCTGTTATGATGGTAAAAAAGGAATCAAACATACCTAATTGCTTTATTAACTTCGAGCTTTTCCATGCAAATAGGACATTCTTCTGACCCATCGAGGGAGTTTGCGGCCATCAGATCACTAAACTTTCGAAGAAGCTGGTAGTGACGTTCAGGCTTCGCATCAGAAACGAACATAATTATGGCGCACCTTTCGCATAGGGTAAGCACTGTCTCCCGCTTCAGTGAGGTCCTCGTCTTCTTGAAGTTCAGCAGCATCACGTTTGACCTCTTTGATTTGCAGCTATCAAGGGGACATGATAAAACATACAGACTAAAGCGGGAAATAATCTTACCTGGAGTATCTTCTTCTTGTCTTTCTTTTGCACCTATTGCGAGTTTCGCGAGTCACATACGTGAATAAGATTCATTTAAGTTATTGTCTTACCTTATGCAACTCAGAGACTTGAGCCTTAAGGGATCGAATTTCTTCTTGTAGATTTGCTATATCGCGCTCAGTACGTTTCTCTCGTTTACGTCGAGGGGAGACATCTCTTGTCTTCCTCTCATTAATCAGTCTTTCTGTTAATTTGGCATTATTATCCCGTAAAGAAGATAGCGCAGCCTTCATTCAGCAAGTTTCCTGGAGAGACGAGGGATATACTCCTATAAACAACCGCTGTGTATGAGTATTATAGGTGGAAGTTACGCGTCTGAGGGTTACACATACCGCCATGCTCTCTAACATATCACTGTCTGATTCCGACTCTGTGACGGTTCAGGGGAGCTCGGAACAGTATGTTTCTTTTTCGCTTTAGCAGAGTCATTAAGACTCTTGGTATTAACGGATGACCTTGTTTGAGGAGCCATTGGGAGGAGTAATCAAGTGTCTTGAATGTCCAGTTAGTGGTCACTGTATGCGTTCTAACGTCTAGAGAACTTGAGCGCAAAGGATTGTCGAGTTTGAAGGTCCTTGACTAGAGCGTCAGTAGATAGTACTTTCAATTGGAAAGTGAAAGCAAAAGACTCTGAATTCCGGAGTAGAATATGAGCGCAATGGTAAAAGTCCTCGTAGACTGGAATACGGATAGGGAGCCTCTCCGAAGGCTAGAGTCTGGAGTCTGGACAACCCAACTCGACTATGAGCCTGAGTACTAGGCGTACTGACTATCTATAGGGTCATTTACTTCCGGTCCTTGTCGATTAGTGGTTAGATCATCACGTTGTGGTCACACAATTCCGTGAAGACGGAGGCTCGAATCCTCCCTGGGACACTTTTTCCTTCTCTGAATGGTGACATCATTCGAGTGAACCTTTGGCTCGGGAAATGTACTATTGCACTGACTCACAGATTCTTATGGGTGCGACTTTATAGGACTTTGGCTGGCTTGGCCAGCTATCTGAACCTATCGCAGAAGGTATCAGTCTCAGTAAAACCGACCATGTCAGGCACCAAACCTCCTTCGGCTCTTTCTTCAGTGAAGATCACTTTCCTTGGGACCGCTTCTGCTCAGCCGTCTAGCACGAGGAACCATTCGTCTTTGGCCTTGCACTTAGGTGGTGATGTCTGGCTTTTTGACTGTGGAGAGGCGACCCAACATCGGCTACAAAAGAGTAGTGTTAAAATGGGAAAGATCCAGAAGATCTTTATAACCCATACACATGGTAGGCTCTGAATGTTATTCGTGTTTCTAAGTCTAATGTATGAATCAGGTGATCATATTTTTGGCCTTCTACCACTCCTCGCCAGCCGATTGAATGGCTCAGGAGGTACTGCAGAGGGTGTCGAGGATCCCCGCCTTCATGTCTCAACTGGCGAAAATACCCAGGTAATTTGTAGAGCGTAGGGCACCTGCGTGCGTTACTGATTGATCTTCATTTATGTAGCCTCTAGAAATTTATGGGCCATTAGGCACGCGAGCATATGTTCGTAATGGCCTGATGTACACTCATACTCTCCTCGGTGCACCTTATGTTGTCCATGAGCTTAGGTTCCCCACGGACCCTCTAGGCGACTTTACAACCTTACCTCGGAACGCTGCAGAGCTCCCCACAGGTCGAAATATCGACCAAATCGATGGTCACTGGCCCGACGTCTTCGCTGATAATTTAGTCACTGTTTCCGCGGCCCCAATTTTACATTCCGTTCCTTGCGTAGGATATGTTGTTAATGAAAGGCCGGTTCCAGGAAAGATGGACCCCAAGGAGTACATCCCAGCGATCAAGAGAACGAAAACGCCAATGTCTGTCATGAGCCGCTTGCAACAAGGTGAAGACGTAGAACTAGCAGATGGCACTATTCTTCGCGGTCCCCCTCGCCGACACGGAAGAAAAATAGTTATCTTGGGCGATACATATGACCCTTCACCAATTGCACCTATCGCCATGGACGCCGATATCCTCATTCACGAAGCTACCAATGCCCATCTGCCTGGTATTGACCCTACGACGAAGGAGGAAGATACTTACGAAACCGTGGAGATGAAGGCAAGATCCCACGGACATTCAACGCCACAAATGGCTGGAGCATTTGCGAAACGTATAGGAACTAAGAGGCTGTTCTTAAACCACTTTTCAGCGAGATATGCAGGAGATGATGACGTTAATGCGGAGACGGCTGAAGTAATGAATGCTATTGGTTCGCTTGCAGCAGGGGAATATGGAGGTGAAGTAACATGTTCTAGAGATCTTATGTCGATAGACATACAACTCCCCAAATGACAAGGATACAGTACAACAGATACAAGAGGCAGGAAAAAACACGATAGGAAAGACAGGTGGGCTAAGTAACTATCGTTTTCTTCGTTTAGGCATAGAGCCTGTTGCAGAAGTATCCACTGACGAGATTGACATCGACCGTCGTTGTGACTACCAGGAAAAGTATGAGTGGCGTTCTAGTCCAGAAACCGGGGAACTTACCTGTTTGCGTCCTCTCATGCTCTTAGTACTTCGCGAACTGATCACACTATGGGCTCTCCCATCGTCATCTTCAACACCTTCCGCATCTTCGTCCACATCCATAGCAGACGGTGTTCCGGCTCCTCCTTCACCCCCCTCTCCACCTGTGTTGTTCGCCATTTCCAACCGCATAGTTGCGACTTGAATGTCCTGCTCGACCTTGTCTACGCACTTCTTTGTGTCGATAAGCGACATGGTTGCTTCAACCAGACCATCCACACGGGCACAATTCTCTCTTGTAGGCATGACCAAACGTGAATGAGAGATGCCCAGTTCACTCAATACCTGAATAATTCTCGGACCCGTAGGGTTTTTAAGCATGGGTAGTTTGTAGGATCTGAAATATACTGGTGTATGTGCCGCTTTGTTTGAGGTGGTCTGGTTAGCGTCAGTACGATGGATACAGTGTTGTGCATCTAAGTAACGCAATTCAAAATTGTGAGCCATTGATATAGAAAATAAGGAATGCGATAGATACCGTATTGTGCGCTTTTCGCAGACTGGGCCTTCTTCTGAACAGGCTGCCCAAGACTAATCACATTGGCCGAGGATGGTCCAGCAGACGTAGGAGTATCCACATCATTGACACCCCTCTTCTTAGTTTTCCTGGTATTCCCGGTCACAGGAGTAGTGGTATCGATATGCAACCCATTACCATTCACTGGTGGCTCGTCTTCTACTGAGATATCAGGCAACCCGGATTCAACGCCTAGTAAAGTCTTGAGTAATTCGTCTCTTTCCTTCTTGAAACGTCGCTCAGTCTGTTCTAGTCGTTTAAGCTCGATGTAAAGCGCGTCTTCTTCCGCGATTTGCTGTGGCGTGCGCTGTTCGAGAGATGCGACGTATTTCTTACGGGTGACCTCACGTTCTAGATTTATGTTAGTTTGGAGCGAAACGGAGGCGCAGTGCAACCTACCCTTGTCGAACTGGAAGCTTGAAATTAGTTGCATTTTACTCGATTCGTCTCCGGCCCATGGTCGATTTCGGACGAGCTTTCGACATACGCTATAGTATCGATCTTTCAAGTCCTATTACAAGGTCAACATGTAAACCAATGGGAAGAATCATTGAACCTACCTCTAGGCTACGTGGGGGACCCCCCGGGAAATCATAACGGTCACCAACAACGTAGAACCGTTGGTCATACT